CATCTCTTAGCTCTCACCAGAGAAATTTCCTTATGTAGCAGATGGTGATTGACACAGAAACTCACAACTGACCAATGTGCAGTGAACAAAAGACCAGAGTATTTACTCCTGAGTAGAACAATTATTACAAACCTCTACCTCTCAAGGCTCAGGGAACACTGGGGAAGAGGTGGTCAAAAGATTGTAAGAGCCAGAGGGGATGATAACCACAAGGAAACAGTCTTCCAGACAGCTGATCAGTCACTCATATGAGCACAAGTCTTATGTAAGCTCAAACTGACAAAATCCCAGCACAGACATGTGGATATAGGTAAGAAATCTCAACCCAACCTGAGGAACTTTTGGCGACAGAGGACTGCTAGAAGCGGGAGAGACAGTGTGTTACAGGGATGGGACTCTTGAGTCCTATGACTGGGTGGGGAGGGCTAGTGAGGAGAGGTGTGGGGAGGGGAGGGGATAGAAACACCATCAAAGTATATTGTATGAGAATCGTAAAATTTGATTAAAATAAAATAAAATAAAGTAGGATTCTGAATATGAGCAAATTTATGGACTTTTGACTAACCAGTATTGAATAAAATTAACAAAGTTATGAGATAATTTCACCAAAATACCAACAAGCTGATTTGCTTTCATTGCAAGTGGGTTAGAATCAGTGATTTTTTTTTTTTAACTGCCTGAAACACAACTTAAAAACCTAACAATTCAATTACTCTTGAATTATTCTTTTTATGTTTGTTTGGGACTTAGCATACTAGAAGGCTTTCTTTTAAATCTCTGGACAGCATCTCTCTTCTGACATGGGAGATGAAAGTGAGGTTTGTATAGATCCTTTCATCCCTATCAAGATGACAGTGATAATGGCAGTTATGTTAGCAGTGTGAAAAAACATCAGGGCTCCACTCTGCATTTCATAAACATGAACCAGATCAGTGTAGTCAGGGCCTTGGCTTTCCAGAGGAGGAAGTCTGAACCTTAGATTTCCCTGTGCTTTGCATTCAAGCATGTGCTTTATTTTATCTGCTATTTTCTGACATTTTCTCTTGAATCTCTAATTTTCTCTGTCAGTTTACTTTCCTGTCTTGTCTCTTGGATGAGTACCTGTCTGCTAGCTCTGCCAGTCCCCTCATGAGAATAAAAATTTTAATGTTCAGTATTTCTTTGAAAGGCTAGCATTTAAACCTATGACCTAGATTCATGCCCTAGTTAAAAAAATGAGAACAGGAAAATAAGAATCAGATATTTTTAGATTTTGTGTTGGGAATGATATTCTGCTGTATAATGTATGGAATTTCCTAACCATAGGAACAGGACTTAAGTACTGAGAATGATGGTTATTTTTAATTCAACTGACACAATCTGGAATCTCCTGGGAACAGATTCTCAATTTGGAATTTTCTGGATCAGGTTGGCCTGTGGCCATGCTGTGAGGGATTTTCTTAATTGGGTTAATTGAGCTAAGAAGGCCCACTATTTCCTGTGCTGGGCCCTGAACTGATTGAAAAGGAGGGAGTGAGCTGAGTATAGGCAAGCATGTGTGCTTCCATTCTGTCTGTGTTCTGGGCATGGATGTGACTGGCTTCTTCAAGTTCCTGCCTTGATTTCCCTACAATGATAGTAACCTGGAATTGTAAGCTGAACAAATCCTTTATCTCTTAAAGTTGCTTTTGTCAGGGTATTTTTAATCACAACAACACAAAACAAAACTAAGACACTAGGTATAAAAAAATGAAAGGCATGAGGAAAGCCTATTGTATCCACTCTGAACATTCCTTTCCTATCTTCTGTGCTGTACAAGTGATTGCAGGAGAAATTTGATCACCTTATCTACACAGTATTTTTTTCCTGCCATGGTCTTCAACTCATTCAAGGTACTATGTATAGGAATCACTTATGTTCTTGTTACTTCACTAAGTTCCATATTTGTTACACTAATCATTAGGCTGTGATAGCTATTTAAAATATTAATACCTAACTCAGATAAAATATAACTTGAAGAAGAATAAGAAGAGATCAGTAGCATGAATAGGTAGTACGTTTTCAGGGAAGTGTAAATACACTGCATATAGAGATGTTCAGAAGCAAAGAAAATTAATATATATCAATTAGGAGAGTCAGTGAATACATCCAATTTAAAATAAGTAGGTTAACAAATTTTCCTAGACAGGAACTAATTATTGGTAGAGAAAACTTATCACTGATGTGATTTGTTTTTGTTTCTAGGCATAAAATAAGATTCCTATATAGAAGTAGCCAAAGCTACCAATCACATTTAGTTTGTAAGAAGGAATAGGGAGTGATATTAGCCAGTGTTAAAGGACCCAGAAACTAGTGAATCCTGAGGAAAAAAATGGAAATGTATAAGAGGCATAGTATAGATCTTTATAGTACTTCCCTAAATACTCTGAGGGTATGTGTACCTGTGACTCTTTTGGGGATTTTGTGCTTTCTTCCACCTTAACCTGCACATACCACAGAAGCACATGTCACAGAAAACACAAAATCCATTGGAAGTTGTGCACAGTTGCTTATCTCCACCTGCCTGTATTATCCTTACTTTAGAGGCAGCCAAGAAGAACTCAGCTGTGGGCATTTCGTAGTTGTCCTACCTGTCGGTGGCATTTGGTGTTTGACACTGGACTTAAAGTAGAAATGTGGAGTCTCCTGTAAGAATCTCCTGTCGTACACACAATAATCTCTAGTGGTACTTTGGAAATGAAAGATAGCATTGGTTTATGCCTAAGGGTGGCAATATGTCATAAGAATAGAAGGTATGTTTCATGTTTCATGTATGGCACCTAGAGGGACTTCAATAATATGCTATCCCAGTGTCCAGATACATGTTAACTGACTTGAACCTTTAATTTCCTATATTTTTTAAATAAAATCACTTTATTCTAATTAACTCACAAATAAAAACATCAAACAGCTGGTTTAAGGAAGTCACACAAATACTTATCTTGTCCCAAACTCTATACATCCCACTGAACTTCAATGTGGTTATGATGCCTATTCTGACGCTCTGGAGCTTCACTTAGGTTTTTACAATTTAACTATCAATCATATTTTTATTAATTTTTCCACCTCCAAAATAGAAACAAATGACAGAGTTGAAACTAGGAAAATCTGAGCTTTGTCCTTGCTCATGACTCGTGAGTTTTTCCCTGCATTCAGTCTTTGCTCCTTACCTAATATCCTCTCTTTGTCTTTCTAAATTTTGCACTATATCCACACTTACAGCTGTTTACATATAGCATGTATACATTATAGGCTAGGATTGGCATATGAGGGTGGATATTTGCCTTTTTTCTTTCTGAGTTTGGGTCACCTCACTTAATATTATACTTATCAAGTCTATCCATTTCCCAGAAATTTCATAATTTCATTTTTATTTATAGATGAATAATTCATTTTCTCTACATACCAAATTTTCATCATCCATTTACCTGTTGATAGACATCTAAAATGGTTGCATTTCCTTTCTATCACAAATTGAGCAGCAATAAACACGGATGTGCAAATATCTCTGTGGTTGGCTATCTAGTCCTTGGGCATATACCCAGGAATGAGCTGGATCATATGGTAGTTTTATTTTTACTTTTTGTGAAACCTCCAAGCAGATCTCCATAATGGCTGTATTAATTTGCACTTCCAGTAGCAGTGAATAAGGGTTCCTCTTTTCCTACATCCTCTCTCCCATTTGTTGTCAGATTGCTAGCCATTCTGAATGTGGTGAGATGGTATCTCAAAATAGTTTTAGTTTGAATTTCCTTTATGACTTAGGATGTTGAACACTTTTAGAAATAGTTATTGGTCACTTGTATTTCTTCTTTTGAAAAGTATCTGTTTATTTCATTAGCCTATTTTTTGACTGGAGGTTTTCTGAATGTTAGTCCCTGTGTGAAGTAAGGATGGAAAGAATTTCTCCCATTCTTTGGTTTGTCTTTTGCTTTGCCATTTTTTGTACTATGGAGAAGAAAAAACAAACAACAATAAAAAAAGAACAACAAACAAGAAACAAACCCCTCAAATCTTTCCTGGTAGCCCAAACCCTGATTAGTTAGCCTGTGTTTTATTTTGCATTGAAATTAGCTCTTCTAGAATAAGATTACCTTAACACTTCTGTACAATCAAGTCCCAATCTTTGACATTTTAAAACTTATTTTATCATCATACGAACACTATGATATAGATTTTTTTTCACTTTCTGGAATAAACTGAGAATCATAAAAGCGGTTTGCTTAAAATCACACAGCAAGTAAACAGTAGATATTTGGAACCTGCACTGAGCCACAATGCTCTCCTGTCTCTCAGTAAATCATTAACACTTAAAATGTTTTAGTTTTTATATATAAGGTAAGTAAATATATTTCAAAAAAATAGTATACAAAATAAGTTGTGCAGAAAGAATTTTTACAGTTTTCATTGAGGTAACTGAAGAATGTTTTAAGGCATTAATATGTACCAAATACATGACATTTTTATTTTAGCTTAGAATTATTATCATAATATCTTAGCTACATATCATGTAAAGGACAATAAGTGATGAAAACAGATGCTTTCAACTTACCTGGAACTTAACAGAAATGAAAGAAACAGCCTCCTTTCCTAGAATAAGTCAAGTGAACTCATGCAGAACAGTAAGGCAGAGACAGTTTCTCATTTATGAAAATAAATATTTATTGTTTTTCAGTACTGTTGGGAATTTAATGTTTATTATTAAACTTGAATATGAGAATTTGATCAACGTCTTGTAGCCTATTTAAAAAATTATTTGAATCTAAATTTTATACTTCTGATTACATTAATTTTTGACACTTGAATTTTATTATAAAGGCAAATTTTGGGAAATCACTTTATAATTTCTATTTTAAATGATTAATTAAATACATTTTCATATTTTTCTATTTGTACCATTGCTGAGTATAAACATCTATCCTATATTTACTTACTATTTTCACATAATATACACTTACACTTATTCATCAAAATTTTTCTAGATGATTCCAGCACCAGGCAGCTATGATGTTCAAAAATCATATGATATGTCTCAAGTTAAACATAACTACATGCCACCTCGTAGTTCAATGGCTGAAAAAAAAATTCCTCTTTTCTGAGTGCAGCCCCTTGGTATGTGGGAAAAATAGATGATGGACCAGGTAAGTCTAGATTCTTCTTTGAAAGCTATGGGAAAAGTCAAAGTTTTCATATTGAAAAGGATGATTATAATCTCATTTACAGTGACACTGTTTCCTTAAGTGTATAGATTCTCTCTCCAAAGGTGGGAAAAAAAAATCCAGAAGAGTGAAAGATTTAAAATTTTTGTTTCTCAGATGTAAAATTTGTCTAAGGTTTTATGTATCCCAATTTTCCTAAAGACGTTTTTTTCAATTTCACAAAAGCTAATAAAGTCATCTAGCATTGTACTTGGGAAAAACCCAGCACTCTTTGCATGCAAAAGGAATTAAAGGAGAATGATGCTTTACCCTGATTTGGAAAACCGGTATTACGTAAGAAATACACCATGTCAGTTACATAAGTTATTTTGATTATTTTTTCCAATATTAGGAAAGCAGGTGCGGTAGTTAATTTTGATTGTCAAGTTGATTTAGATTGACAAACGCCTAAGGCATTAGTGAAGCATGTGTATTAAGGATGTGTGGTTGAGAACATTCTTAGAGAGGATGAACTGAGGCAGGAAGACTTACCCTGTATGAGGGTGGTGCCCTCTGCTGGCCTGAGGTGGTGGGTTGACTAAAAAGGACAAAAGGTGAATGCCAGTTGAGCGCTGGCCTTTTCCTTTCTGTTTTCTGACCCACAGGCATCAAGGAAAGGAGCGGGTCTTGCCACCATACTTTCCCTGTAATAATGAGCCCAAATCAATCGTTCTTCCCTCAATTTGCTTCTTGGCAATATTAGGTCAGAACAATGAGAAATTTAACTAGCATCGTTTTTCTTCTCTAAAATGAATTTAGCTCATTTTATTTATGATTCTTAGTAGTTCTAACTTTTGCTGGGGACAAATATGTTTAAATGAAAAATTACAAATTTACAAGAAAACTCGAGACTGGTTCTGTTTGTTCCATGTCATTGCTTATCTTATGAATGATGTCCTTTAATATCATCCAGTTTTTAGAAATAAAGTAGGAGAAAATTGTTTGCCCTATTTGTTATCATTGGCAATTTTATTTTTCTTTAATACCAACACACAGGACCTTTTGTGCTGAATATAAAACTTCTTATGTATCGAATTATTTTGTAGAATATTGTATGTATATATGTACATATATAAATGCAATGGTAAAACTTATTTAAAAGTATGGATGCATATTTGTTACTTGGGTATTACTAAGAATATTACTAAGAATAATCGAAGGCTTTGCTCCATAGAATTTAAAGAAAGTGTATATTATTATCTTTCTATTTCTGAATAGACTTAGCAAATTAAAATTGATCACTGGACTTCTTATATTTGTAGATAAAATATTTAAGAAAAGAAAGTGGGTCCCACAGCAAATGCCACCACTGCCACAGGCTCATATGAGTAAGCCTCCAGTGGCCTGGAAGCCTCCACCTCCCTGTAATCATGAACCAACCCTGGTTCTTACAATCTTCTGCCTCCTCTTCCACATTGGTCGTTGAGCTGTGGGTGGGTGAGGTTCCATATAGGAGTCCCATACTACATTCTACAGTCTCTTATTCTCCAAAACTTGGGCAGATAAGGCCTTCTGTGTGCATTGCACTCTGATGTACAAGGGAGCTTCACTGGTGAGAGTTGAGGTGTGCATTAACCCTCTCTCTACCCCTTATTCTGGTATGTTCCATGGGGACCCATGTCAGCTCAGTGAAACAAGGGTCCAAGGGGGAGGTGAGAAATAGGTGGCCAGGAGGCACTAGATTGAGAACTATTTGAGACTGATTGCTGCTGGGTGAGGGAGAGTATGACTTACATGTGACAACTGGATGGACTGACTAGACCCCAGTGGGTGCATTTACACCAAAGGACAATTGGTTGCAAACACCTGAATGAATAGAACTCAGCCTGTATGGCAGAATGCATAGGGTTTGGCAGGGGGATGGGGGAGGCAGGGATAGGGGAGGGGGTCTCAATTGGAGTGAAATTTAAAAAGCTCAATTGTATGAAATTATAAAGCTCAATTAAAACAAAACTTTAAAAAAAAAGAAAGAAGATGGACACTTCCAGTTAACACTCTACCTCTTGTCTCTCTTTGGAATAATAAAAAAAAGTAATAAAAAAGAAAGAAAAAAAGGTGATAAATATATGAATAATTTTTAAAAATTCATAGATTTATAGAGTATTTGTCCCTTGACTCAAAATTTTATTGCCATGTATTTATTTTAAATTACCTTAGAACTTTAACAAATATGGAAGGAAACCCTTTCTTTGACTGCATATATTTAAGAAAGATAAAACTCATTTCCATTAGTCTAAATTAAAGAGGGAAAGAGTATATTTGCAATCAGTATTCTGTATTCTATTAAATGTTGTGTAACCAATAAAAACACTTTAGAATCATTTAATGAAGAAATTATTAAATGAGGTGTATCACATTATAAAGCAATCTCCTTTTATTACCCCAAGTTTTAATTCATGGATATGTAAATGATTTTGTGATTGATCCAACTCAGGTAATGTGAAATTGTTAAGTGGAAAAGTACTTAAACATTACTTTACCTCTCCTATTGACCTGCTTTTGGAATGTTTGGCGGAGGAGAGAGGGAGAAATGCTCAGCAATTTTAAAAAGAACGTAAGAAAACATTGAGAGTGTAAAGTTGGGGACTCTCCTACTTATTTTAAATTTTAAAAAGAAAGTAAGAGAAAACACTATTGAGAGTGGAAAATTGGGGACTCTCCTACTTAAAGGTAAGAGTGTAATTTGCTATCAGTATTTTCCAAGGGAAGTTTGGGAGAAAGTGTCAAATATGCTTGCTCTTTGACCCAAAATTCTATTTGTAGGATTGCTTAATGTGGTTATTATGATATAAATAACTGCATCAATATCTGTCATGATGTTCATCAAATGAAAGTGAAAATGTTTAAAATTTCCTAAATGGGAAGAAAAGACGTTTATTTAATTTGAATATTAACATTAATAGAATTCTATCAACATTTTAGGAATGCTATTTATTTTATCAAACTGGGTCATCTTGGCACAAAGATAGAATTCATTTATTCAATCATGTCACATTTATGTTCTGAGAGCCTCTTATGCATTAATCTTTATTATAGGTCTTGCAATACAGCAGAAAAAACCAAATATTCTTGTTTGTTAGAGCTTAATCTTAGGTATAAGATACTATTTATGAATTAATGAGGAACTAGATGGAGAGATTTATGGGTGAAAGGCAAAGGAAAGAATAACATAGGCGGTAGGCACATGGCTAGAAAGCTGTGGGGAGAGGGGAGCGGCATGAGGGCAATTTCAGATAATGACACAGAGAAGAGCTCACTGAGAAAATAACATATGAGTAACTACCTGAGGCTTATAAAAAGTCTGCTTTTGTTTATGTCTTCAATATAAAAATAGTTTTCTCAGGCCAACCAGATGGCTCATCTAGTAAAAAGCACTTGCTGAACAAGCCTGATGAACAGAATTCTATCCCCAGAATCCACATGAAGGTGGAAGGGGAGAACCAAACCCACAGAGTTGTCTGACATTCACACATGTGCCACGGAATCCATGAAGCTGCACACACATCACACACACACACATGCACACACGCACACATTTTGAAATGTTTTCTCTATGTTAATATATATTGCTTTGTAGTAAGTAAAATATTTGCTTTTAAATTTAAATTAAAAAATTAATTTAAGCAACCTTAGTTTAAAAATAAATTATAAATTTTAAAAGCTTTGTTTTCATTTTTTTTCTTTCCTTTTCTTCCTGAGATAGGGTCTTGCTATGCAGACCAGGTTCCTTACAAACTTACAAACATGAGTGTTCTCCTGCCTAAGCCTCTGGAGTAGCTGAGAAGCAGGCATGTGCCCTTGCACCTTGCTTTTTTGTGGAGTCTCCTCATGTAGCCTAGCCTGGTCTCAGATTGGAGGTCCTCTTGCCCTTGTTTACCTAGTACTGGAACTTTAGGCATGTGTCATCATTCTGAGAATGTTTTCAAATAATTTAAAAAATCCTTTATTACATTTTGTTAATAAGAATAAAAATTATTATTATTATTTTGCGTGTGTGGCATGTGTGTGTGCGTGCACTTCAACTGTGCATGCCATGAGTATGTGGAGATCAAAAGAGTCGATTATCTCCTCCACCATGTATGTCCTGGGAATCAAATTGTTTGTCAGACTCGGTGACAAGTGTCCTTACCCGTGGAATCATCCATCTAACCTACCCTATTTTCAAATCTTTGAATGAAGAGAAAATATTTAAATTTAGAGTATAAGTTTTATTACAGACCCAATATTTAGCTGATCGATAGTTTCAGCAGCACAATGCATAAAAGAGAATTCATTGGCCATGCCTATCAGCTACAGAAACTTTCTTCATTCTGCAAGTAAGGATCATTTCTCAGGAAAATAACATTGTGATTTTGGCATCACATTCTCAAAGGAAATTATTTTAAGAAACAAATATAATTTATCCTAGGAGTTAATTGAACATATCCCATGGAGGTAGTTTTGTTCACTCTTTTAATAAACATAAGTAATACCTTTGATATAAAAATCACTGTAGTGTGAAAACTAATTATTTCTTCTATTTTCTCAGTGACTTGTAATATTCTAGCTTCCAAAGTACTATAAAGCTTGTCAAAATGCAGTTCATTCCTCTTATTGAGTGCTGTTAACAGATTGCAATAAACATGTACTTTCCCCCACCCTGTACTGTCTAGAAATGTTTCTGAGCTGCACAAATGCATGATAATTCTGAGTACAGAAAAAGTTGATCAGATCAATTTTGAGGACTTATAATTATTTTTGAATTTTTTTTGATTTACATACAATATAATTTGTTGGTTTTTAGATCCCCTCCCCTATCCACAACTCCTCTAATTGCCCCCAGCAAATTTATTGCACTTTATTATGTATACAGTTTAATTTGTGTCCTCAAATGTCCTTCAGTGTGGGTCCATCCACTGGAGCCTGGTTAACCGACTAAGAGTCCCATTCTTGAAAGAGACTGT